CCCTTTCGCGCCCCGCCTCGCAGCCCTGTGGCGAGCCCCCGCCAGTTCTCGTGGGCAAAACCCCCCTTCCGCGGCCTGGGACTGTTCAACTCACCCCCTTTGTTCCGTTCTGTCTGCCGGCAGCACGAAGCCAGCGCAGGAGAAAGCAGCTTCCCTGAAGAGCTCTGAGCTCATGCACAGCCAGGAGAAACTGGAGGCGTCTCCCAAGGAACGGAGCCTGGATGGCCTGGATGGCAGGTGGGTGCCGCGCGGGCTGGGCTCGGTCGGCTGATGGCAGATTTCAGCCTGGGCCAGGGTTCCTTGTACGCTGAGCACCGGGGCAGCCACCCAGCAGAGAGTCCGGCGCCACCCAGCTGATAGGCCCTGTGTTGCTACTGGCGGTGCACATCCGCACATGTAGGGCTAACTGGGCCCATTGCGTGCCCCGGGGCACTCTGCGGCAGGGCAGCAGCGAAGGGCTGGGAGATCCCACTGAACTAGGCCAGGCCGGGCATCTTGCGCCAGCCGTTTGCCCTGCCCCTTGTGTGCCACGTCCCATGGAGAACCGCAGCTGGCACGACGTGAAACCCAGCCGGTAGGGCGCTCCCGCAGCATTTCCCAGGTACCACGTAGGTCTCCTGAGCTGCTGCTGGGTCCCCGTTGTCTCTAGGGAGGCCCAGGCCACCCCTGGTTCACAGAGCCCAGAGCGGGGCGAAGATCAGTATTTATAGCCCATCGCACTAAGGGTCCGTCGGCTCCCGGGTCCTGCCTGGCAGTGGCTGGGGGGATCTGTCCAGCACGGGCTTCTTTGCGCACCACCTTGACCTGCCCACCAGCGGCGGTTCCTGGCTAGCGTTCAGCTCACTGCCTGGAATCCAAGAGTTTACACCCATGATGTGGTTTCCCACTGCAGCTGTCTCCTGTCAATCTCCAAGTCTCCTCCCCTGAACTGCTTTATTTCCTGCAGCAGCTAGTTCCACAGGTTGATTGTGTGCGTAAGGCCCGGGGGGAGGGAGGGAACGTTTGTCACACGCGAAGCGCCCCCGTCTGCATGCTCAGCACCATTCAGTAGGTTGTCTCACCCCGTTGGATCTGTGCAGAGGCAAGGGCAGGGCGGAGTCTCACGAGGATCTCTCTCTCTCTCTCTCTCTCTCGCACGCAGCTTGCACCTGAATGAAGTGCTGAAGGATGAAGAAATAAAGAAATGCCACAGAGAAGCGGTGAGTGGGGGTGCGGCTGCCCGTGGGGCACTGGAACTGTTGCGTCAGTCCTCGGGGTGGGGGGGGGCGGGCGGGCGGCGGCCGTGCGGAGGGGGTGACGGTGTCTGTCCTGTTGCCAGCGTCTGGGTCAGTGCTGGGCCTGGGCCGAGTGCGACAGCGACAGGCTCTGTGGCGCGTTACGCGGGGCGGGACGCCTGCTCAGGATCTCTGCGAGCGCCAGACGGGAACAGGGCCTGGGGCTGTTCCTGCTGGGCGGGGAGGTCTGGGCCCACTGACCCGTGGAAAAATCAGTTGGAGGCTGCACAAAAGTAAGAAGCAAACCCCCCCCCCATACTGACATGGCCCCGAGTGAGAAGCAGAAAGACCCTCCCCCACATTCCCCTCGCTCACCCTGAGGCTCTGGCACCCGGGTGAGTAGATTTTATGGGGGAAAGCCGCCAGGTAGCATTTCACTGTGCCAGCCTGGAAGAGTGGGAGCAGCAGCGAGCGGAGTCACTTCCTGCCCCTGTCAGGCAGAGCCCATGGATAGGATCTGGCTCTGGCTTACCTAACTCCCCCCCACCAAAATCAAGGCTCCTCCCCCATTGCAAGGAGCCAGCACTGGCACTCCAGCCTCACGGGGGGGAGGAGGGGCACTGCTGGAGGGGGACATGGGGCTGGAGCACCAGCCTGGGCTCCCCAGTACTGAGGGAATCCCCGAGCCTCAGGGGTTGGATCTAGACAAGCCAAGGTCCGGATCCAGCCCTAGGAACTTAGGTCTCCCACTCCTAGATCATTATAATTTTTGTGCAGACATCTAGTCCTGAGAAATGACACATTCCATTCCCCGCCTCCCATCAAACGCCTACCGTACTTATGGGCTTTCCGTAAAGCCATTCACACAGCTTATAATTCTGAATCAGAAATATAAATCAGAGATGTCATGCAAATGGAAGGAGTCTTTCTGAATTAGAGCTTTTAACTCCATCTCCCTGCCAAAGCGGGATAAATCTCTCCTCTAAAAGGAACCACTCCTCCCTCTGCCACACACAGCCCATGGGTTGGCTCAGGGCCCAGCCTGCCTGACTGGGTCGGGGCCCCACCTGCTGCTCCTGGATCTGGCCCGGGGCCCGTCGGTTCCCCACCCCCGTCGGTTTCTGCTGCCCCTTGTCTGCACCTCCTGGAGTCCCCGGTCTCAGCCCCTCCTGGGACTCCCCCTCCCCCCTGCTTCCCCTCTCCCTGCGGCTGCTTTTTGCTGCCCCTGCTACATCCTGTGGCCTGGGGCCCTCCCGCCCGTGCGTTCCCGGGCGC